TATATAAAGGATGGAAATATATTTTGATTTTTTTTTTATCACACTGGCAATTAGATTTTCCTTGTTTAAGCATTAAAAAAAAAAAGAACAAAGAAAAATGTTGATCAATGTTGCTGTTGTCACCTCTGACTTATCCTTGCTGAATTCTGTGTTTACTTCAGATCCACAGATCTCTTGCAGAGCAGGATCAGGTGGGATGTCCTCATGTTCCACATCACTTTCTGAAAAGTCACATGAGTGATCGATGTCCATTTTGAAAGCTAAAAAAAAAGGAGGGGGACATGTACTGTAAATAGGATCTTAATGGAGGTGCATGAAGATACACATTAGAGGTACATTCATATTGTTTTCTTTGACTGATGTTTTCTTGTGAAAATTGTTTTAATTGGTAATCAATGTGTATGTTTTTCTTCTGTCCTCACTATCACTTTCCATCCTGAGAGTCTTTTGTGATATCTCTTTAATATCATCATCCTACATTATTTTCTCTCTGTATAATACATAAATAAATATCATAAAAATAAAATAAATCTGATTTATTGAAAAACAAACGTAAAAAAACAATCAAAATTAAGTTTGTTGACACCCTCACGTTGGTCAGTTTATATTCTCACTGGACAATAACTAACTTCTGCTCTTTATTTCCACAGAGTTTAGAGCAGGAATGACCCATAAAAACAGACACTGATAGCAAGACTGTCTGTCTACTTTATTATGAACCACACTTACGAAACTCAAACGAAAGTTCAGTTGCTCCTGCAGTTCAAGAAACGCTGCCACTAGAGAGCGCTAAGCAGTTAACGTCTCAATGATGGCAAACAAGCAAGCTAGAATTAAAGCTGAAACGTAAAGAAACGTCGTCTTAATTTTAGTTTTTCCTCAAAACAATTCTGTAATAATCGAGATTTCAATAAAACCTATCCTTTTATATAAAAAAATCAAGATTAAAATGTTAAAATCTGCTGCTGACTTACCTTGCTAGAATGTGAAGGAATCCAAATATAACGGACAACGACAACGACAACGTCAGTGATAAAAAAAAGGGATAAAACGCTCCCAAAACGAGTTCTATCTCCTGTATAATAGTGTGTATTTAATATATTTTACGACGACGTAATAGCTATTATTCAATAAATTACAGTATTTTTGAACTTCCAATTCTTGAATAGCATAGTAGAGAATACTTGTCTCATGAATATTAATTAGACCGTGCTGACGTCAGGTAGGCCTACTGCGCTGGACGTCACGTAACCTAATAAATTAATATTCATAAGTCAATTCATTACACACTGAGAGAAATCTTTTATCAACCAAACAACGTTTGTAAAGAAGCAGGCGTGTTTTGCATGCTTTCTAAAACACCACCGACCACTGTAAGAATAGTCTATAAAAAATGTAATAATGCTGGTAAATGTATTCACAACTTGAAAACATGGAAAATGAACAGAAAACAACAGAACATACAGAAAAGAATATAACAAATGCTTTTGATGAGATTATATAAGAAGCTGCCATTGCTCATCACATTATCCACAAACAATTACAATTAATAAATTTTTTTTTAATGCAGCAAAAGAAGAAAAAGCTTGATCTTGACCCATTGTATATCATATTTTGTGGCTAAATGCTCTAAAAATCTTCACCCGATTTAAACATAAGACATAAAGACAGACATAATCACTTGATTTATAACAAAAATCTAGATACAACAATTAATGTACAATAAATCTGGTCTTATGCATATGGAAGATTCCTGAATTAGTCCTAAACTTGTGAATTATCAGGTTTCTTAATTCTTCGCACCACCACCCTATTCCTGCGTCCCTGTCTTGTGCCAGGCTCAGGTGGGGTCCCCTCTCCCTCAGGAGGTGGACGCTCCGCTCGAGGAGGTGAGTGACTTCTGCCGGTTCGTGCTTCATCCACAAATAACTCTATTCCCTCAAACTTAGTGGTCAGCTCCGCTAGTCTCTCTTTCAAGGAATTAAATTCCTTGTACAGGTCATTTAGAGCTTCAGATAATGGCTGAATCCTGAAAACACACACACACACGTCTGGTTCACTATCCTTGTGGGGACTCTCCATAGGCGTAATGGTTTTTCTACTGTACAGATCATATATTCTATTGCCCCTAAACCTACCCCTCACAGGAAACTTTCTGCATTTTTAGATTTTCAAAAAACTTAATTTTGTGTGATTTATTAGCTTGTTTACCCATGGGGACCTCAATTTAGGTCCCCACCACGACACGAGTCCCCATGAGTCTGTGCACACACACACACACACACACACACACAAGATGGAGCAAGCACATAAATATATTTATTTACTTATTTTTTTAAACATACCTTCCATAGTCTGGTAGCACTGTGCTGTGATCATTCAGAAGGAGGTCTTTGACTTGGGTCATGATGGCATATTTCCAGTTATCCAAGACTAAAGTGAGATTGGCGCATCCTCTCAGGTTCACCTTCTCAGCTAAAACATGCACAAAAACAAAAAAGATGATCATATTTTTTTAATATATTTTTTTTATTTTCCAAAACAAAAAAGTTTTTGTTAAACATTTACAGTTAATACATTTAAATATTTTATCATGGTATAATTATTCACAATATAACTTAAATGGGTTATAATTACATAACATTTCAAAAGCTTTTATAAAAAAAAATAAAAATTTAAAATGTACATATGCAGTATTTTACCTTCAGTTTTGTAGTCCCACTCCACAGTCTGTCTTGCGCTCTTCTGAGCAGCTCCCAGTGAGAGCACAAAAAGTAACGGCAGTAGACAATTCATGACTCTGTACAACCAAATAAATTCAAACAGGATCACAAATGAAATTGAATCAGATGCTTAACTGACAATATGAAATATAAAAACAATTTGGGAGACCAGCATTTTATGACTATAATGATGTGCTTACCTGAGGCGTCTGATTATATGTCTCAAAAGCCAATTAAATAATGATAATCATGAAAAAACACACACCTTCAAATATCATTAAATATCAGCAGTATGTCTTTTTCTGGCTTTTATATCATCATTCCCACCTAATCCCGCCCAGTGGTTGAGGCGGTGTCTGAAAGTGGAGTTAAATTTCAGTGTTTAACTCACCTTGTCACACTTTCTTTTGGAAGAAAAATTGCTTTTTTTTAAATCAAGGACCATCTGTGGAGGTAGGTGTAAGGAGAGATAAAGTGTTAAATTAAGAGGACTAGATAGAATCCAGATGTGTCAGATTGAACTTCTGAGAGCTTCAGGTAAGATGTTTGAAGTCAAGTTCACTCTACCTCAGCATTCCAGCGACTCATCTGCCACACATATGAGGTCCTTCTGATTGCTGGAGGTGAAACTTCTTCAACCTTTACTTTAAGAATCATACAAACAAAAATTGACCTAGACATTTTTTTAAAAACATACCGTAAAATCTTCACCGTCAGGATACACACATATTTATGTTAACAAGTTACTGGTTTGTGTGACATACTTTGGACTACCTTGAAAAAGTCCATATGCTCAGTTTGTATGGGATGTATATGTAGAGCCCTTGAAGTATATCTAAAGCAATACATCAAGCAGCACAGGGCCCCATCTGGTCTACCCTCCCATAAAAATGAATCAACATTTGTATTTTTTAACCAAAAAGTGTCTGTTGAAGGCTAAACTAATTCATTCGTTATTTACGAACACAAAATCAGGAAATAAAAAGACAAGACCACGGCATCCAAAGGAATCGGTTTTATTGTTGTTGAACTTTTTTCTAGTATTTAAAACCCCAAAACCAATTGAAAGCATACAACTCAGGGCACTTGTGTTTTATGACAATGGGGCCTAAGCACAGCTATCTGCACCTCAAACCTCAAAACTCTTAAAGCAAAAATCTGATTTCAATCTGTGAACAATGATGATCAGTGTGTGCCCATTTAAGTGAACCAATAGACTGAATTTTAGAGTGTTGGATATTATGAGTTTGAGAATTAAGAAAATTGAAGAAACTCTACAAAATATAACACAAATGTAAACATCTAGATAATTTCAGAGGGCTGAAATTCTCCTGAATGCATATTTAAGAGATGTCTTTGGGCTGGTTTCTAAAACATTGATTCGTGGCCAAATGAAAATGGCTGTCAGAAGACAATATAACCCTGTTTCCAGCCAGTAAAATCTATCTGCTGAACTACACAGACCAGTGTAGAAGATCTGAGGCTGGTTTAAAAAAAAGTCCAAAGCAAAGATGTCAATCAAGTGGAATAAGTTTAGACTTTTGCTTTTATATTTGTAGCTCTGTTCTTCCCTATCAATCAATCAATCGCTCTTGATCTCCACCATATGTGGAGCCGACAGGTGAGAGAGCGTGTTCAAAGACGGCCCTGACAGAACCCTTTGAAGGTGCAACGGTACAGGCTCCTTAAAGGCTGAACGGTGGAAAAAAAATCTCCACAACTGAAATCTGGACAGGTGCCAGGGGGACGGAAGGGGAAATTGGTAATGAAAGGGCGATGACAGTGAAATGGTGCAGAAAAGGGTACCAGCACCAAAGTCGAGTGGCTACAGTATTTGCAAAGCAAACGTAAACCAATCCACATTCGAAGCATAGCTTCTTAAGCTTTCAGAAGTCAACAGTCAATTGCAATCTTGAGGAAAAGGAACCTCTGCAGCCAAACCAACCATTCGACTTCAATCTAATCAAGCATTGATGAGAATTGAAACTCAAAGAAACTCATCGTCCATCAAAATAAAGTGTTATGAAAAATGAATGGAAGAATATAAAGCAAGCATGAGTGTTCGGTGAAGAAAGTGTTTTAAACTACGGTTGAAGATCTAAGAAACCATGATCAGTGCTGCAAATCACAAAGCTCCTTCAGCTGCATGTTTACTTCAAAATGGGCTTGAAAAAGTAATTTCCCTCAACATATAAAATCTTTTGAAATTAAATAACAGCATTTTTCCTTCTGTTTATTATTTACACAGCATCTTCAGTGAGAGTTGGGGAAAGACGTTTAACATCAGATGTTTCACCAATGGTGCTGAAAGGTTAGTTTGGACCACGAAGGGAGATGAGGAGGGTGGAAGGAGCTTCGCCCAAGTGCTTGTCTAAATAAACGTCCCAGAATGCACTGGGCTCACACAGAGAGTGCTACATGGGTACAACCCATCATCTTCAGCCATCAATCATCATCAAAGTGATGCAGCTCACAGCGTTGGATCGGGCACATATTCAGGCACGCGGCTGCCATCGGCATTTAGATGTG